CAGAGGCAGAATGAGATATGACAGATATGGTATGGCATCTGGCAGAGGCAGAATGAGATATGACATATATGGTATGGTGTTTGGCAAAGGCAGAATGAGAAATGGCAGATATGGTATAGAGTCTGGCAGAGGCAGAATGAGAAATGGCAGATATGGTAAAGAGTCTGGCAGAGGCAGAATGAGATATGACAGATATGGTATGGCATTTGGCAGAGGCAGAATGAGATATGACAGATATGGTATGGTGTTTGGCAAAGGCAGAATGAGAAATGGCAGATATGGTATAGAGTCTGGCAGAGGCAGAATGAGAAATGGCAGATATGGTATCGAGTCTGGCAGAGGCAGAATGAGATATGACAGATATGGTATGGCATTTGGCAGAGGCAGAATGAGATATGACAGATATGGTATGGTGTTTGGCAAAGGCAGAATGAGAAATGGCAGATATGGTATAGAGTCTGGCAGAGGCAGAATGAGAGATGGAAGATATGGTATGGCATCTGGCAGAGGCAGAATGAGATATGACAGATATGGTATGGCATCTGGCAGAGGCAGAATGAGAAATCACAGATATGGTATGGCATCTGGCAGAGGCAGAATGAGAGATGGCAGATGTGGTATGGTGTTTGGCAAAGGCAGAATGAGAAATGGCAGATATGGTATGGCATCTGGCAGAGGCAGAATGAGAGATGGCAGATATGGTATAGAGTCTGGCAGAGGCAGAATGAGAAATGGCAGATATGGTATAGAGTCTGGCAGAGGCAGAATGAGATATGACAGATATGGTATGGCATTTGGCAGAGGCAGAATGAGATATGACAGATATGGTATGGTGTTTGGCAAAGGCAGAATGAGAAATGGCAGATATGGTATAGAGTCTGGCAGAGGCAGAATGAGATATGACAGATATGGTATGGCATTTGGCAGAGGCAGAATGAGATATGACAGATATGGTATGGTGTTTGGCAAAGGCAGAATGAGATATGACAGATATGGTATGGTGTTTGGCAAAGGCAGAATGAGAAATGGCAGATATGGTATAGAGTCTGGCAGAGGCAGAATGAGAGATGGCAGTTATGGTATGGCGTCTAGCAGAGGCAGAATGAGATATGACAGATATGGTATGGCATCTGGCAGAGGCAGAATGAGATATGACAGATATGGTATAGAGTCTGGCAGAGGCAGAATGAGAGATGGCAGATATGGTATAGAGTCTGGCAGACGCAGAATGAGATATGACAGATATGGTATGGCATTTGGCAGAGGCAGAATGAGATATGACAGATATGGTATGGCATTTGGCAGAGGCAGAATGAGATATGACAGATATGGTATGGTGTTTGGCAAAGGCAGAATGAGAAATGGCAGATATGGTATAGAGTCTGGCAGAGGCAGAATGAGAAATGACAGATATGGTATGGCATTTGGCAGAGGCAGAATGAGATATGACAGATATGGTATGGTGTTTGGCAAAGGCAGAATGAGAAATGGCAGATATGGTATAGAGTCTGGCAGAGGCAGAATGAGAGATGGCAGATATGGTATGGCGTCTGGCAGAGGCAGAATGAGATATGACAGATATGGTATGGCATCTGGCAGAGGCAGAATGAGATATGACAGATATGGTATAGAGTCTGGCAGAGGCAGAATGAGAGATGGCAGATATGGTATAGAGTCTGGCAAAGGCAGAATGAGAAATGGCAGATATGCTATGGCATCTGGCAGAGGCAGAATGAGAGATGGCAGATATGGTATAGAGTTTGGCAGAGGCAGAATGAGATATGGCAGAGGCAGAATGAGATATGGCAGAGGCAGAATGAGATATGGCAGAGGCAGAATGAGATATGGCAGAGGCAGAATAAGATATGTCAGAGGCAGAATGAGATCTGGCAAAAGCATAATGAGAGATGGCAGATATGGTATAGAGTCTGGCAGAGGCAGAATGAGAAATGGCAGATATGGTATAGAGTCTGGCAGAGGCAGAATGAGATATGACAGATATGGTATGGCGTCTGGCAGAGGCAGAATGAGATATGGCAGAGGCAGAATAAGATATGTCAGAGGCAGAATGAGATCTGGCAAAAGCATAATGAGAGATGGCAGATTTGGTATGGAGTCTGGCAGAGGCAGAATGAGATATGGCAGATATGGTATGGGTTATGCCAGTGTGTGGCACACAGGAAGGAATTAAGGAACATATATGTATATTTTTTCTAATTATATTCTGTAGAATGGAAAATGATAAATCTGCTCTTTAGGATCATGTAACTTCATGTGAAGTTCACCCATTGCACCATGGGATGAATATGAATTAGCATTTTATCTCTGGTTTGTCTTTTCCTGACAGTCATAGCCTGTGCTGACGTCTGCTATCCGTATGACTGCTGCGATGTGTACTCCCAGGGTTTCCAATCAGATGGGGTGTATTTAATATTCCCTGGGGGGACGTATTCTCAGCCTGTCCATGTTTACTGTGACATGACATCTGCAGGAGGACCATGGACGGTAAGTGACAGCAGTACTCACCTGAGTGTCTGTCCATCCAGATCTAACACTTTATTAGCATTTTCGGAAGATATAAACATTATAACAGTGCTTGCAGTGATATATTATGGGGGTTCCAGTTCTCTTCTGGGTTATGTTTTATAATTTGATAGTTGTTGTATGATTTTATGCTTCTTCAGAAATCATTGGTGTTCAGAAAGTTAGATCCAGTCGCTAGGTAGCGGTTAATGGCTCAGGTTATTCCCTCAATTTAGTTTGTTTGAGCCAGAAATCATTCCAATCTGTTATAAAAAAAAATGCAATGATTTATCTACAGAAGTCATGATTAAGTCCATGGGAATTGGAGATAAATTATTTGAAAAGTTTTTCTAACAGACTGGGATAATTTCCGATTCTAATTCAATTGAATTAAACCAAGGCCCTATGTTGGATATGTCTCAATTGTTCACCAATAAACATTTCTGCAAATAGTGATTTGTCCACATGCTCCATGTTCATCACTTTATGCAACTCATATAAATGCAGAACTAGAACATTTCTGGGTGCTTTGTATTACGCAATCACCATGGAAACCGCCAGAACCATCTTGCTGCTAATTAGCTCCAGTTATACTAAGCAGGGATTGATCTGATCTATTCTATTTCGATTACCCACCAGGTGTTCCAGAAGCGATTTAATGGTTCTGTGGACTTTTACCGAGGTTGGGACGAGTATGAGAATGGATTTGGTCGTGCGGATGGCGAATATTGGCTGGGTAATACACCACTTGTATTTTTCTGTACTATGCACAAATTGCTGGTTTTCATACAATTCCTACAATTATTCTGAATACAAAAGGGATAAACTATGATGAAAGAGGAATAAAACCATCTCCTCCTACCTTTTTAGGTTTGCGTAACATTCAGCAGCTCACACAGAGGAGGCCATACCGTCTTGGCATTCAGCTGGAGGACTTTGAGAAAAATACACGTTTTGTGACATATGAGTCGTTCTCTCTCTCCCTATTTGCAATCTATCCTGCGGAGCAGAGGTACAAGCTTAACGTTGATGGATTTAAGGAGGGGGATCCATTAAATCCTGCAGGTAAGTGACTGAAAAGCTTTGGCCAGCTGTAACCTTTTTTAAAATGGGGCTAAAAATATGGAAAAGACATAAGGGGTAGATCTCCTATTGTCCTTATATGCAACTACACAGATAAAAACATAATATACACATGACCTCCACCCTCCTTACGATTTCCAAAAACCTTCCCAATGTAGCAAGGAGACACTAACAACTGATTGGAAGATAAAACCATTGCTAATTGTTTTAATAAACAATAATTAAAATGCATTCAATGGTTAACTGATAAATAACATATTAAGTTGACTTAGGTGGCAGCACTGAGGCCATAACTATATGCCTCAGACCACAAGAGTATGCGGCTCCCACCTACTCCTGCAGTGGACCCCCAGTGCTTCGCCCAAGCAGAGGCATAATGGACCACAGGGGAGATTGTCGGCACAGCTTCTCACATATATGCTCTGGAAGGCCCCCCCACACCTCCCAATAACATGAAGGGGAAACAGCCCAACTGAAACGTGCGGTCATACCCGTTCTCTGCATCACCCTGGAGCCACACCCACTTGCAGGAGAGGGAAATAGAACAAAAGTCTTGCTCAGAAGAGCAGTGGCGTTGGTAGACTAAAGAAACCAACAGCTACCACAGGAGTGGCCAAAATTTTACCGGGCAGAGTGGCAAGCTCAATTAAGCAGACTTCGCACCAGGCAACTAACTAAGAAGAGGCGAAACCCAAAAGGAAAGTCTCTGCCAACAATTCAGGGCAGGGAAACCTGCAGAGGAGAAAGCAAAAAGAGACTTACAGGCTGGTAGGGCCCTTAAATAAGGTATGAAGAGGCCTGTAGCGGAACCCCTGCTAAACTGTGAACACCTGCAATGTGTGTTACTGTACTGACATCCCTTTTGTGTGTTTCCCCTAGCTTGACCCTGTGTTTCATTCCTTGTGTTTTGTAGAACTGCCTGCTCCCCGTTCGGCATACCAGCACGAACGGGACCCCATTCACCTCCCAAATGAGGACCACCATGAAATCTCATTTAGAATGTGGTTTTAGAATGTTTGCACCTCGTCATGACGTGTCACCCTGGCTGGTGGCCCATTTGTTAGACGAACGCCATCCAGGGGGATCATTTGCGGACTGCTTCCCACCTCATTCGGGAGCTGAATGGGCCTCCCTGGCACCCATTAGAATGTTCACACCAATCAATTGGAACTTTGGTAACTCGCAAAATAGTGTGAAACCACAAAGGAAGTAATTAATGAGTGTTGCTCTGGGTGGCCGTCGTTCGTACAGACGAACATCGGCCAGGGGGAACATTCACATCCCGAAAGAGACGCTTCCCTTGCTGGGCTTCACACAGGGACCCCGTGAATGAAGACTGTTCGTGCCAGTTACTGTTCTGGGGGTCCCTGAGATTGATGGGGACATCCTGTGAGGACAATGGCAGAGGTTGGCGCTACGACCCCCTAGATACAGAGAACTCAAGGAAGAAGGGCCCTGGGAGGAGACACTAAGTGGCAAGAACAAGGGACAAAGGGACTGGAGTTCCGTTTCCCCCAGGGGACCCCTGGGAGTGGGATAGCCCTTGGAGGGGACACTGAGTGGCAGGACAGGGGACAAAGGGACTGGGGTTCTGGTTCCGTTATACGACCCCCAGGCAGGGGAGGACATTGTCTTCATGTGTGGTCCACCCCTTGCATGGGGAAAGTATAAAGCCGCATGTGGCGAATAAAGAAGTTGTTGTATCCCCTGGAACTGTTTGTCATCCAGTTACTGGGAGGGAAATGGGTCTGTTAATTTATTAATAGCAGAGGTAGCCAGCCAGGTTACCCAGGGTCCGCTACAACTGGGGGCAAGCGGCGGGATCCTACATGGGGAAAGATGGGGAATAGTTCACCTGGGATAAGGGGTTATTGTACCGCATAGTGGAGATCAATTGGTGGCTCCCAGAAAATATCAGCAAGAGCTAGTGAAGATGGCTCATGATATTCCCCTGGCAGGGCATTTGGGGACGAGCTGTACAAAGCATCAGCTCACCAAATGCTTTTTCTGGCCAGGCATCTCCAAGGATCTGAGGCAATACAGCCAGACCTGTGATGTCTGCCAGAGGATGTCTGCCAGACAAAGCCCATACAGAATCCAAGAGGCCATATGGGAGAACATGAGGAAAGTGATCCAAGAGATGCTCCACCTAGGGGTCATTGAACCGACCAAGAGCCCTTGGGCCTCCCCGGTAGTGCTGGTCCTCAAGCGAGATGGGACCTCCCAGTTCTGTGTGGACTACTGGAGACTCAATGATAAGACGGTCTCCGATACCTACCCCATGCCTCGCATTGATGAGCTGTTAGATAAAATGGCTTGGGGCAGATACCTCAAAACCATAGATCTGTGCAAGTGGTATCGGCAGACACCCCTGGCCGCATAGGCTATCCCTAAGTGAGCCTTCATCACCCCATTTGACCTGTATCAGTTTAGGGTAATGCCATTTGGGATGAAGAACGCCCCGGCTACCTTCCAGAGGATGGTGGACTAGCTGCTAGAGGGCCTTCAGGAGTATGCATGCGCCTATCTGGATGATATTGCCATATTCAGCGATACCTGGGACTAACATCTGGCCCATGTAGGATCTGTACTAGATCGGATCAGGGAGGCATGGCTGACCGTGAAACCAAGCAATTGTTACTTCGGGATGGCCGAGGTACAGTACCTACGACAAAAGGTGGGGTGTGGGGCACAAAAACCTGAACTGGCAAAAGTGGAGGCAGTAGCCAGCTGGCCCTGTAACCTAACCCCAGGTGCTGGCTTTCTTAGGAACTGCAGGGTCACACAGAATGTTTGTCCCCAATTACAGCATCATAGGTAAGCCCCTCACTGATCTGACCTGCAAGAATTTACCCAGACAGGTAGCCTGGATCCCTGAGTGTGATCAGGCATTCCAAGCCCTCAAGGACACCCTGGTAAATGCCCCTGTACTGGTCGCTCCTAATCCCAAGAAACGTTTTCTCGTCCACACAGATGCCTCTATGTTCTGACTGGGAGCAGTACTAAGCCAGGTCAGGGACGATGGAGGAGAACACCCAGTAGCTTACCTCAGCACAAAGTTGTTACCCAGGGAGTTGAGCTATGCCGTCATCGAGAAGGAGTGACTGGCGGTGGTGTGGGCCCTCAAGCAGCTACGGCCCTATCTGTATGGACAGCAATTTACCCTGCTCATGGATCACAACCCATTGGTATGGCTTAACCGGGTCTCTAGGGACCATGCCAGGCTGTTAAGGTAGAGTCTGGCCCTACAACCGTATGACTTTACCATCCACTACAGACCTGGCAAGCGGAAAGGCAATTCTTTCGCAACAAGCGAAACCCCTTGTGTAGCGAAACCCCTGCTAAACTGTGAATTGCCCCACTTACTCTGCAATGTGTGTTACTGTACTGACATCTCTTTCGTGTGTTTACCCTCGTGTGTTTCTTTCCGTTTTGTAGAACTTCCTGCTCCCCGTTCGGGAGTACCACCACGAACAGGACCTCATTCACCTCCTGAACGGGGACCACCACAAAATCTCATTTAGAATGTGGTTTTAGAATGTTTGCACCTCATAATGACGTGTCAAAATCACAAAACCGCAAGGGAAGCATCAGTGCGTGCCGATCCTGGGTAGCGGCCCGTTCGTTAGACGAACGCCATCCAGAGTGAGCATTCCCTGGCATTCATTAGAATGTTTACACCAATCAGTTGGAACGTTGGCAACTCGCAACATAGTGTAAAACTGCAAGGGAAGTAATTAATGAGTGCTGCTCTGGGTGGCTGCCGTTTGTACAGATGAACGCCAGCCAAGGGGAGCATTCACATCACGAAAGAGACGCTTCACACAGGGACCCAGCAAACAAAGACTGTTCATGGCAGTTACTTGTAACGGAGCTCCAGTACTCCGACCGAGTACCTCCGCCAAGTTTGCTTCCTTGTAGCTATCAGGGACCCTGAAACACTTCAGACCCGGACGCCGAGGCTTGACTGAGATCACTTAGGGCCTTTCCACCCTGGACCAAACACCAGACGACACATGGTGAAGGTTAAACAGCAACTCCTTTATGAATACCGCACACATAGTTTTAGCCCCCAACAGCCTCATTTACATACAATAGGTTACATAGATTACCATAGTGCAAGGAAGGGTGGGGTCAGACAATAGCAAGGGCTGATGGGAGATTGAGGAGGGACAGAGCAGCTATATTAAACTGGTCTGGCAGTGTCCCTGGGACAACGCCCTGCTGGGGAAACAATAGGACAGGAAAAAGGGGGGAGGGGGAGATGCACAGACCAGCAATACATTCAACATACCCTGCACAAATAATAGGCATAATGTGACAAAACACAAAAGGAATTTGGGAGCCCACCCATAGTGTCTGTCTTCCATCCCCAGTGATGGTGACTACCGTCACATTACCATTCTGAAGGTCCCTGAGATTGGTGGGGACATCCTGTGGGGACAATGGCGAACGTTGGCGGGCTCTCTGTCACTGGGAGGTAAAGGAGGCGGGAAGTTTTTCTCACTACGACCCCCCAGATACAGAGACCTCTGGGAAGAAGACCCCTGAGAGGGGACACTAAGTGGCGGGAACAAGGGACAAAGGGACTTGAGTTCCGTTTCTGTCAGGGAAGTGGGAGGGCCCTGGGAGGGGACATTGTCTTCATGTGTGTCCCACCCCTTGCATGGGGAAACTATAAAGCTGCATGTAGCCAATAAAGTTGTTGTTGTACCCCCTGGAACTGTGTGCCGTCCAGTTACTGGGAGGGAAATGGGTCTGTTCATTTATTAATAGCGGAGGTAACCAGCCGGTTAACCCAGGGTCCGCTACAAGGCCCCTCCCTCCTGCCACACAAAGTATCTACTCAGTTGCAGTCCCCTCCAAGGAGACAACCCCTTAATTGATGTGCCCACAAGGGGGCCCTCCACTCCTTAAAGCAGTGCAGTCATGAAAAAATTGTTGTAAACTTGTAGTTAACTTAGGCTTATGGTTATTACCAGATATTAGTCACATTGGTCAAAGTGATGGATTTTATGTACTACAGAAGCTAAATCACTACCATAATTAACCTACATAAGAAGGTTTGGCCGGAGCTCACTGCCTAGCTGCACAATATGGATCCACAATCTAACCAAACAGAGCTCATAAACACAAAGCCACCCTCACCCAATGGCTACAAGCCCACGGCATTCCTCCAAGCCTTTCTTTTTACCTGTAGACCAGACTTGAATATTTTGAAAGCTGAGCAGGCCAGGAAAGATCACAACTCCTTCATCTAAGGACTCAACCCTTCCAACATCCACTCGTGGTTGTTGTTTTTTGCAATATTGTATCCTATTGTAACAATGCAATGTTTTGTAGACCCAGGACATACTTGAAAACGAAAGAAATCTCAATGTATACACCATGGTAAAATGTTTTATAAATAAAATAGATCCCCTTTCCGTACCAATACCTTGTCCTCTACATACAGGTTCTCTCCTTCTGTTATTCTTCCCCTTTACTTTAACTGGCCTCCTCTTCCTTGTGTCTGGATGTTGCTACCTTTGGATACATCTACCCCAGCTCCTTGCCTCCAAGCTCTACCTTTCCTCTCAGTATGTCCACCTTCCCAGGTATGTTCTTTATTGGTCTCTGTCTTTGGTCTCCACTACAGCATTCCCTCTGCTCTCTTCCCTTCACTATCCCTTCTGTATTTTTACGTGTAAGGATTCTGTAAGTGTAGAATTCTATTTGTACACTATAGATTCCCTCGCTGAACTCTCGGCCTTATAAGCTGAGTTCCATCTCTTTGTAATGGTCGTGATGCTGAGTATATGGGTGTTGTCTCAAACCCGTGCACTCTCAGCAAAACATATTCCAGATTAGATGGATGTAAACTTGATAATGTGGAAGTGTAAAGGAGGTGGGCAATGGGTGGCTGAGAGAAGATTTTGTCAAACTGCTCCAAAAGAGCATGGATTGGTTTGAGAAGAAATAGTGTCTCTTTGAGCTGTAATAATACATTGAGCTGTGAAAGTACACCGAACTGTAATAATACATTGAACTGTAATAATACATTGAACTGTAATAATACAATGAGCTGTAATAATACAATTAGCTGTAATAGTACACAGAGCTGTACTAATAAACTGAAGCTGTAATAACACAATGAGCTGTAATAACACAATGAGCTGTAATAATACAATCAGCTGTAATAGTAGACTGGGCTTTAGTAATACATTGAGCAGTAATAATACAATTAGCTGTAATAGTACACTGAGGTGTAAGAATACATCTTATGATAAATCACTGTGATTACTAATTCATGTTTATTAATGGCAGGAAACTCTCTAGAAGCGGCCAACAATATGAATTTCTCCACTTATGACCGTGATGGAGACACATACTCAGGTAACTGTGCTTTGTCCTACCATGGGGCGTTTTGGTACAATAGCTGCCATAATGCCAATCTGAATGGTAAATACCTAAATGGTAGCACTTCAGAGTATGCCACTGGCATGGTGTGGAACCGATGGAAAGGTTATTACTATTCCCTGAAAAGGAGCGAGATGAAGATGGCTTGTGTATCTCAGTAGCCTTTTCCTATCAACTGACTGCAAGAACTGTGACATATTCTCCGATCAACTGACTGTGAGAACTGTGACATATTCTCCTATCAACTGACTGCAAGAATGGTGACATATTCTCCAATCAACTGACTGCAAGAACTGTGACATATTCGCCCATCAACTGACTGCAAGAACTGTGACATATTCTCCTATCAACTGACTGCGAGAACTGTGACATATTCTCCCATCAACTGACTGTGAGAACTGTGACATATTCTCCCATCAACTGACTGAAAGAACTGTGACATATTCTCCCATCAACTGACTGAAAGAACTGTGACATATTCTCCCATCAACTGACTGCAAGAACTGTGACATATTCTCCTATCAACTGACTGCGAGAACTGTGAAATATTCTCCCATCAACTGACTGCGAGAACTGTGACATATTCTCCCATCAACTGACTGCGAGAACTGTGACATATTCTCCCATCAACTGACTGTGAGAACTGTGACATATTCTCCCATCAACTGACTGCGAGAACTGTGACATATTCTCCCATCAACTGACTGCTAGAACGGTGACATATTCTCCTATCAACTGACTGCGAGAACTGTGACATATTCTCCTATCAACTGACTGAAAGAACTGTGATATATTCTCCTATCAACTGACTGCAACATCTGAGGACAATATTGGGGTATCCAGATCAGTAAAGTGAAGCGAGTTTCCATGGATGACTCTGGGTTCCAGAAACCAGTGTTTTATAATGATTTCTCCAGATGCCGCTATTTGGCAGTAATTGTTCTAGTTTATCATTAAACACTGTATATTGTGTATCATTATATACTATATATCAATAAATAAATGAAATACAAACCTGATCAGTCTTAATAAGAATTTTACAAATATTGTTTTTTTCTATAACACATTGAATAAGGAACGGGGGTAACTTGCAGTTCTGCATTGACTCTGCATTCTTTCAATTCTCACTTTGGTTAAAGGAACAATAAACATCTGAACTGCTATAGCTTAACGTAGTGGTTATGGTACACATAGCCTATCCCTGCAACCTTCGCTACATTGTCTGGGAAAACACAGTGTTTACATTGCTTCCTAAGGTCACCTCTAGCGCCTGTCACTCAGACAGTCATTTAGACAGTCACGGGTGAGGTCCTGCAATCTTTGCATGTCTTCACACTCTGCATAAAGATGCTGAACGCTCCTCACAAAGATGTGCTGAGCTGGTGCACCACTGTGAGGAGATACTGATTGACGCAGCACAGCGATTATACCGCACACACTATCCTCCGTATGCTACCCTATGGAAGGTCATTAGATTGTCTGAGATTAGCTAGGGGAGCCACTGCTGTGGATAGAGCGGCGAGGATGTAAGGAAAGTTAGTCATCTTCATTGGGGGAGGGGGGGGTTATAAATCTAAATATGTAGGAACGCACTCCAAGATTATGAATCCATGTTAACATTCTTACCATAGAGTGATCCTTTAACGTTATGAATCCATGTTTACATTCCTAACATAGAGTGTCCCTTTAACGCTATGAATCCATGTTTACATGACCGGTGTATAGTCGCCATATGGGCAGTCGGACTCCAGGACAACCCTCCCACATACCTAACCCAATAATGCACTGACACTCGGGTATATGGGAAAATGTGTCCACAGCTTTATTAAACAATCTGAATAATAATAACCATATATTCAATATAACATAATAATCGTAATAATTTAACAAATAAACATGGGTCATTGCCCCCCATACTCCGCCCTCGCATCCGATTCCTTCTGTTAATATAAAAGGCAATGACCCCCATATAAATAACACATATATATAACATATACCAACATTATTCCAACATACCAACTTAAAGTGCCAACATAAATTTAACCATGGCAGGGGTATACCCGGATACCCCTACCCCACCAGGTTCTGAGCCACCGACAGGACTCGAAACCTACCAACCACCAATGACCACAGTTTTCCATATCTGTCACGTTCATCCTAGGGAGCCTATTCCTTCTCCTTCAGCTCCCTATCCCGCCACAAGCTCAGACCTTGACCCCTTAAGCCGTCTGAGCTCCGCCACCCCGAAGAAATAGCGCCTTGGTTATTCCGTCTTGCCAACCCAGGTTCAGCAGGTCCCATCCCACTGCCGAAAGATGAACGCCATCCGAGCAGTAGTACCCCGGCAACCCGCCTTCCAACTCGCTGTGCCGCACTACAACCACTCCCAACTTTCTCACGAAGCTTGCCATCAAGCTATTCACTTTCTTTCTACACTTGTCGATGGCCACCGGGTCCCTTGCGTGCCACCACCGCCTCCTCGGGATAATCTCTGACCATACTAACATTACTCCCGGAAACAGGTCCCTCAATTTGTTGAGGTCCTGCTTCATCCACTTCACCAACCTCCACTGCGGTGTTAGGCCCAAGTCATTGCCCCCCGCATGTAGCACCAGCAGGTCCGGCCTCCGCCCGCCTGCCACCATCCGGAACACTTCCCGGCAAACTTCCCCCCAGCAAAAACCCCTATACCCAAACCATTGCACCACCAACTGGTCCCTTGAAAAGCCCAGCTGCTGGCCCTGAGTTCGAGCTGCGGCTCTCCTTTCGGCCCAGAAAGCAAAGGAATGGCCCACGATCCATGCAACATAGCCTGGGGAAGAGAGAAAACACAGATTGTAACAACACCCCCCTATTGCCCTTCGGGAACCCCCGAAAAAAGGCCCGACATATCATTCTAACAATCCCAACCGCACGTACGACCAGAACCGTACTGACTCCCACCTCCCAATTCGTTTAACTATGTCGTCCCCCAGACCCAACCTTGTGGCTTCCGTGGCCGCCCCGATGCGAAAGGAATGTGTACCAAAGCTATCCACCCGTAACCCAATTTTTCCCAGGCCCCACCGAAAAACCTTAATAAATTGAAATCGGGAGAGGGAAGACCCGTCTGCATGCACCAGGAGGGATCCCCCAACCTTCGGCCTCCGGACCAAATACTCTGCCACCGAGGCTACCGGGCACAGAACGGAGCCCGGCAGGGCCTGAAGTGTCACATCACGGCCCACCCCCCGTAAATCCGTCTTAGATTCGGCCAGGTGAACCACCAATTTCCCCCCTTGCAGCCGAACCCCCGAGACCTGTAGGCCCCCGGCCACTACCCGATTGGCACTCACCAACTCGCTAATCCAGAAAGCCCCGAAGAAAGCCAACAGAAACGCTGTCCGAAACAGGGACACCTCAAACTCATCGAAGCAAATTCCAGGCAGCCCACTAACCAGATCCCCCAACACCCGCACCGACACCGGGCGCCTAGTGTCTGGAAACCTGCGCCCCTTCCGATACCCCTTAAGCACCTGCCTGATGACGAAGGACTTAGTAACGTCTTCCTTCCCATGCAGCTTAAACCAGAAAGCCATCGCCGCCATGGACCTGTCAACCACTGCCGGGGAGGCCCCCTTTGCCAGCAATTGACAGGTGTACCACAGAAACGCGTCCCGGAGTGATTCCCCTTCCGGCACGCAATCCGGCCCCGCCCAAGATCGTTCCCATGAACCCCACACCTTACTGTAAGCGGCCCATGTGGCCGGTGCCAGAGAAGCCTTCACAAGTCCCCCAAGCAGGACGCTCCCGGCCGCCAAATTTCGTCCGGGCACGCCTGGCCCGCTTCCTGCGCCTCCGATGCCACCGTCCAGAATCGGGACCACTGAAAACGAGAGAGAGCGTCAGCCACTTCGTTCAAGTACCCAGGCACATGGCGCGCGCGAAAGACAACATTGCGGGACATGCACATTAGGACGAAGTGCCGCAGCAACCGGACCACCGGTTTTGACGCCGCCGACTGATTATTCACTGCGTGCATTACCGCCATATTGTCCGAGAAAAAGACCACCTTCCTGTCCCGCAGCCCTTCCCCCCACAGAGCCATCGCGACCACCAGCGGGAACAATTCCAGGAAGGCCAGGTTCCGCATAAGGGCGCTCGGCCCCCACGCCAGCGGCCACCTCTCAGCGCACCATTTCCCACCAAAATATGCCCCGAAGCCCACACTACCTGATGCGTCAGTGAACAGCTCCAGCTCTGTCACCGACACCCCTTCCTGCCGAAAAAACACTGTCCCATTAAAGTCCCGCAAGAAGGTATCCCACACGGCAAGGTCGGCCCTCATGGCGGACGATACCCGGATGAAATGGCGTGGGGATCGCACCCCCGCCGTAGCTGCCGATAGGCTGCGGCTAAAAACCCTACCCATCGGGATTACCCGGCAAGCGAAATTCAGCATCCCAATCAACGACTGCAGCTGCCGCAGGGTGACTTTCCTTGCCTGCGCTACTGCTGCCACCGCCCCTTTTAGCCCTTGCAGCTTTGCCAGCGGCAGCCGACATTCGCCCCGTACTGAGTCAATCTCCAGCCCCAGGAAACTAAGGCACACTGCCGGGCCTTCCGTCTTATCCGCTGCCAGCGGGACCCCGAAGCACCCCGCGACCCACTCGATAGTCTGAAGCAAACGCTGGCAAGCAGGGGTGCTCGCCGGCCCCACGCAGAAGAAATCGTCCAAATAGTGCACCACCGATCCATTCCCTGCCTCCGCCCGTACTACCCATTCGAGAAAAGTGCTGAACTTCTCAAAGTATGAGCACGAGATGGAACAGCCCATGGGGAGGCACAAGTCCACAAAGTATGCCCCTTCAAAGAAACACCCCAGCAGGTGGTGACATGCCGGGTGGACTGGAAGCAGCCGAAATGCTGCCTCGATGTCCACCTTTGCCATCAGCGCCCCGCGCCCGGCCTTCTTTACCAGCTCGACTACCCGGTCGAATGATGCATATGAGACCGAGCACAACTCCTTGTCGATATCATCATTCACCGACGCTCCCTTGGGGTAGGAGATGCGGTGAATGAGCCTGAACTTCCCCGGCTCTTTCTTGGGTACCACCCCGAGCGGGGAAATCCTGAGACCTTCCAACGGCGGTGCCGAGAATGGGCCCGCCATCCTAACCAATAAGACTTCCTTTTCTAATTTCTCCCGCACCACCCCTGGGAACTCCGCCACCAACTCAAGGTTGCGCCGTACCCTAGACCCCCCCCAGTCAAGGAACGGGATAAAGAACCCTTGCCCAAAGCCCGCCCGTAGCAACTCGGCGTCCGCCCTGTTACCGTAGCGGCTTAGCCATGGCTCCATCGTGTCTAGCCTCACCGGGGTTAAGCCCCGGGGCAGAGGAGACCCTTCCTCCCCCCCCAACCGTAGCGGCGACTCCGGTATTTCCTGACTTCCCTTTTTTGAAGCATCGGTTAAGCCCGTGTGCGCCCCCGCAGCCTGAGCACTCGTGCTTAAAGCGACAGGTGTTCCCCCATTTGCACTGGCCTTCGTTGAAGAGCCAGCATAAGCCCTTTTGCAAGGCGGCCGACGAGGCGGACTGCCCCTTTGCGCCGGCTGTGTGCTGAAAGGGCTGCGCCTTCTGCGCCATCATCAATTTCATCCAGGGGGCAGGTTAATTTGGTCCCATCTCATACCCGGATTGGCCGCCAAACGCTGCCGGAACTGCTCATCATACCGCCACCACGCCAGCCCGCCGTAGGTGCGGTATGCCTCCCAAATTCCGTCTAAATAGCAAAACAGGGAGGAGCACAAGCCCGGCGATTTCTCACCTAGGACACTGGCCAGGACGCAGAACGCCCTCAGCCAGTTGCCGAAAGATTTCGGTATCTTATGATACCGCTTCTTTTTCTCCTCCTCCTCTTTTTTCTCGTCTTTCTTATCTTCCTCCTTGAGGTCTATAAACTCCTCTAAGGGGAGAAGGGAAAAGATTCCACAGAATTCGCCCTTCCAGATCTTGTCTTTTACCTCCTGTTTGAGGTGCACCCCGAGCGGACTTGCAAACGACACGTATGTGTGCTGTCTGGCCGCATCGGGGACCCCCCCACCAGCCAACTCCGCCCGCTCACCTGCTGCGTCTGCCCTGCTGCCAGCCGCTCCCGAATCCCTGCTCGAACTCGGTTCTGCAGAGATAACACCTGTGGCCCCTGTCCCCTGTGCCCATACCTGACCTACACCGCCCCCGTGTCACCCCCCGCTCCCAGCGAGTGGAGAAGTGCTTGTAGTGTGTGAACCAGTGTACTGGATTGCAACGATGCACAGGACTCACCAGCCAAGCCCCCCAGTCTCCGAGCGCTGGGGGCTGCATCGTCCACTGTAATCCGTCCGGGAGGAGCGACCTCCGTTAACGCCCCGCCGACCGGGGAGCCAACTCGGTGCCCAGCTAACACAGAGGAAGACCGGCTCCAAGACCTGTAACGAGGAGAAGATGTCCTGGGTAGGGTGTACCGATCCCCTGTCACCCTCCCTTCCCGACCCGGGGAGCGCCTGCTCTTCACCAAAGCCTCCCGCCGCGCGGTGCCCATAGTCCGTGCTCCAGAGGCCTGGACGGCCCCGCCCCGTGGGCTACGACTCCTTCGCCCCCAGCGTTCGGTCCGCCCCTGCCTACCATGCCTGGGGGCCCTGACCCTGCTCCTTTCCGACCCCTCAGAGGTGGAACTATCCTGCCTTGACCTATCCCTAGCTCCCCCAGCCCCCTGATCCCTAACTGGGGATGGGCTGATGCTGCTAGACCCCGAGCTAGACCCCCCTGTTAAGACACCTCCAGTGTCTTTAGGCAAAACCGCCATTTAGTAGACCTTCCCCGTCTGCAATATCAGTAACTCCGTTCGCCTAACCGGTAGTGCACGAACCAAATGCAGGGGAAGCGTGAACGGCTCCAAGCTCCCGAACGGCAATACACGAACTGCTGCTAGCCGCCAAACAATAACATCCACCAAGCGGCTTTCGTTTCCATCCAGCAGTCTCTAAACTTGAAGAAGAAATCCCCCCAATAACGAGACAGAAGCTCCACATTGAGGGTCAAACAGGATCTGGCTTTACTGTGGGCTACCTGCCTGTATTTATGCAGGTCTCCCACTTGGTGGACACTCCCCTAGGGGACCAAATGGGAGACTTAAATGACAGACAGATATGGGGACATTCCAGACACATAGACACAGTTTTTACCCACAATGCATTATGATTCCCTCCCCTCTGCCCTGGAGATAATTACCAAGTAACTCAATTATCTCCAGGACAAAGCCAGTCGCCATTTTAAATATAAAATCATAAAAGACATAAAAATACATAACTTTAAAATAACCGAGCATTTCCCATTCGCATCACATATCCCCAGATAGCCTAAATCTGAGTGCATATTATTAGCGAATAGCGCTCAGATCCCACACACATAGTTCAATCACCATGGGAAGGCTATCTGGGTTAAGTTCTTTCGTATGCTTCAAACCTCCCGAACGGCCGGTATTCGTATGCTTTCGTGGAGGCAGCCAGGCGTTCCATTGTTTCCGCGGTGTTCGGCAGAAAAAGTGTCCGTTTTTAGTTCCATAGAAATAGAGCCAAACACCGCTGGGCTTTCGCGTGGTTTAAAATGGCCGCTGCCTCGTGGTCGACATACAAACGACGACCACCCTGAATTTGTTTAATTGAGAAGTGTCTGCGGTTAACCACAACGTTCGAATTGGGATCAATAGGTTAACCAGCAGCACACTTCTCTCTTGGGTGGCCGTCCGTTCGGTAGGTTTGTTCGGGAAAAACAGTCATTCGTATGGCTGGGCTATAGAAACAGCCATTTACACGAAAGGGGGCAGAAATAGACGAATCCACCTGAAATAAGAAGACAGATGGTTCTGTCACACCCCCCCTCCTGCCACTGCGCCCCAGCACCTGCCTGTCTACCCGGGCCAACCCCCCACCCCCACCTGGACGGGCTCCACAGTCTCCAACACCCCCTTATCCAGCCCAGCCACTGCCTGATCAACTAACCCCCCTGCTCCCAGGGGCCCCGACTGCCCCACGGGCCCAGGCCCACCCCTAATCCCAGAGGGGGACCCCCTGTCCAATCTCGCTGTACTGAGGGACCCCTTAGGTGCCCCTGACCTCTTCCCCCTCACTACCCGCCCCTTCAGCACCACTGAACTACCCTGGGCACCCCCAACAACCCCTCTCCTTTCCCCTTGTAACCCTAGAGTGGCCGGCCTAGTACCCCCGTCTCCACTACCCCCAGGCAACTCCTTCCCCGCACCCAGCACGCCAAGAGAGCCCCTGGCTGGGCCCCCTGCACTTGCCTGTCTGTCATGGGGCCTGCCGGATGGCTTCACGGTTCCGGCCCCGTCCGCTGCGTCTGCCGACCTCCTGAGCGTCCTCCTGGGCCGCGGCCCCACGTGGTCCATCACTCCAGGGGGCCCGGCCGGTGCCGCGGCCCCCGCTCCTGGCGCGGCCCCCTCTGACCTGGGAGCCGGACCACCACCGTCACGGGCAGCCGCCCGCCGCTCAGCATGTCCCCAAGGCCCCGGTAGCACGCTGGGAGGCGGGGCCTCAACCGCGCTGCTACCGGGCCTGCTGCGGCCTCCTCCCGCCGCCATGCACCCGCTAGCTCCAGCTTCGCCGGGCCCCGCGCCCAGGCTCAGCCTCCGCGGCGGCCTCCTGGCCCACAACGGACGGTCCTGTTCGCCCTCCTGGGCCGCCATTCCCGCCAGGGCTGGTCCGAGTTGGGCCCTGCAACCAATCCGCTCCATGACCTCGCGCCGCTGACCGGATCCCCTCCAGCAGCCTCTCCACTTCGTCCATGGTCCTGCAGAAACGAAAAGAAGGAAAAAAGGCCCTACCAAACCCAATCTGCACACACAGAAGTGCCCACAAACTTGGTCAGGTAGGAAATTAGAAGTGAGCTCACTTAAAATGGCTGCCTATTTAAATAGCCCAGCCTACTTACCCATAACACCATACTTCCTTCCCTCCTCCTATGCCCGCCTCCTAACCCCTATCAAGGCCCTTTTTCG